AGCGAGACGCTGGTTTTGCAGAGTTGGGGATGTCTCGAGCGAAACGCTTGGTTTCAGAATTTGTTGAGGATGTCTCGAGCGACACGCTGGTTTTGCAGAGCCGACCGCGACACGGAAAAGCGCCCCTCGCGCAGGAATTCCGAGGATGTCTCGCGCGTGCCGCGTCCCGCGCGCTGGTATTTGGATTTCTTGGATTTTTGACAGGATTTCCTCAGCGAAACGCTTAGTTTTACAGACCACACCCCAGCACGACCACACCCCACCACGACCACACCCCACCACGATCACACCCCACCACGACCACACCCCAGCACGACCCGATCGATGAATCACAGGGTGCGGACCACCCCAGCACGACCACACCCCAGCACGACCCCACCCCAGCACGACCCCACCCCAGCACGACCACGCCCCAGCACGACCACACCCCAGCACGACCACACCCCAGCACGACCACACCCAAGCAAGACCACACCCCAGCACGACCACACCCCAGCACGACCTCACCACAGCACGACCACACCCCAGCACGACCACGCCCCAGCACGGACCCCAAACCCAAGCACGACCCCCCCAGCACGACCACACCCCACACGACCCACACCCCAGCAGGACCACCACCACCCACAACGACCCCCTCCCCCAGCATGACCACACCCCAGACGACCATCCCCCAGCACGACCTCACCCCAGCACGACCACGCCCCAGCACGACCCCGCCCCAGCACGACCACCCCCAGCACGACCCCCCCAGCACGACCCCCCCCCAGCACGACCACCCCCCCAGCACGACCACACCCCAGCACGACCACACCCCAGCACGACCACACCCCAGCACGACCCCACCCCAGCACGAGCCCACCCCAGCACGACCACACCCCAGCACGACCACACCCCAGCACGACCCCACCCAAGCACGACCACACCCCAGCACGACCACGCCCCAGCACGACCACTCCCCAGCACGACCCCGCCCCAGCACGAGCCCACCCCAGCACGACCACACCCCAGCACGACCTCACCACAGCGCGACCCCACCCTCGCACGACCCCACCCCAGCAAGACCACACCCCAGCACGACCACACCCCAGCACGACCTCACCACAGCGCGACCTCACCACAGCACGACCACACCCCAGCACGACCACGCCCCAGCACGACCACGCCCCAGCACGAACACCCCCCAGCACGGCCACCCCATCAGCACGACCACCCCCCAGCACGACCACCCCCCAGCACGACCACACCCCAGCACGACCACACCCCAGCACGACCACTCCTCAGCACGACCACACCCCAGCACGACCACACCACAGCACGACCACACCCAGTCGCACTCCCGTGGAATGTTTCGTGGGGTGTCTCGTGGAATGCCGTCGTCGTCCTCGTCCGCGATGTGCTTTGGTTGAGTGGTTGCCTGTTCGTGGGGTGTCTCGTGGAATGTTTCGCGGGGTGTCGCGTGGAATGTTTCGTGAGGTGTCTCGTGGAATGTTTCGTGAGGTGTCTCGTGGGATGTTTCGCGGGGTGTCTCGTGGGATGTTTCTTGAGGTGTCGCCCAGTTGGGTATCGTGAAAACGTGACCGTGCTCCACAAGTCTATATCCCTTTCCGGGTTCGTGGGTCCATCATGTTTGTTGTTTCTTTTCGTTTTTTGTTGAAAAGGGGAATCAATGTGGTGTAAATTACCTGAAATGAACTATGTGGCGCAATTTCTGTGGTGCTAGATGGGTGGTGCAAGCTAGGTGGCGCAAGCTAGGTGGTCCAATCTATGTGGTGCTGCCTCGGTGGTGCAGCCCACGTGTTTCATCCCATGCTGTGCAAGCTAAATGTGCTATACGTGGTGCAATGAATGTGATGTGGACATATGTGGTGCGAGCTACGTGGTACAATCCATGTGGTACAACCTACGTGATGTAATATCTGGGTGTACTAGATGTGAAGCAACATGTGTAGTGCAATCGATGTCGTTTGAACTGCGTGGTGTCAACTACGTGTGCTGTCTATGTGGTGTGAGCTATGCTCTGTGATTTTCGCGGTGTAAGCAGTGGCGACGGACGGCGGCGATTGCGGCGACGGCGACAACAAACGCGACCACCGACAGCCAAGCGCATAAGCAGCGGCGACGGACGGGGTCGACGGGCGGCGACGGCAACAACAAGCGCGGCGACCGACAGCCAAACGCAGAAGCAGCAGCGACGGAGGCAACGAAGGGGTAAGATAACCGACGCGCAAACACTCCTTGTTGCAACGAATAAATGTGCACACCGGTAAACAGGTATACACATACCTGTATATACAGATGTATGTATGTATGTACGTGTATATAGATAACACATATATATATATATATACATGTATGTGCATATACATATACATGTACTTGTGTATACAGACCCGTACACAAACAACATACATACACGCCGTACATTTAATCATAGTATAGTGGACATGTGTGTAGCAGTATACATGTAGCTGTCTATGTGCACACATTCACACATTCCTATTCGTATATTGTTATAGGGCCTGGGGGGCCTGAATAAACGCCCTCCCCTAACAAATTTGGCCCACCCCGGACCTCACGAGAGTCCGAAGACGGCCCCAGAGGGCCCCCGACATTCCGGCGCGCTCCAGAAACGACCGCAGATAGCCCCAAAACGGTCGACGACGACCCCAAAGGAGCCGTCACAACCCCAAGGATCGCTCCAAAACGCCCCAAGAAGCCTCCAAGAGCACCCCCAAGAGGACCCCAAGAGGCAAAATTAATTGATTTGCCGTTGGTTTGTGGGTGAATTTTTGAGTTTTCCCCTTTTGGGCTCCCCGACGCTCCAAGACGGCCCACGGAGCCCCCAAGATCACCCTAAGATTGCCCGACAGACCTCCAAGAGTGAACGGGCGAAGAACAGTACAAAATAGTTTGTGTCGCTGTCGGGGGCGCCTGTCCCAGGGCGGCTGGAAAGTTTATACCCTTACGGTGGCACGTCAAGGTATGAATTTTCCAGCCGCCATGGGGCAGCGCCCCCGATGACGGAAAAGTCTATGTGATACCTCTCGTCGCCCGCTAAGCCCCAAACCAAGAGTGCCCCGAGACATTTCCGACAGGGCCCGAGGAGGCCCCAGGAGGCCCCCGACGAGGCCCCGACGAGGCCCCAAGAGGCCCCCAGGAGGCACCCAGGAAGCCCCAACAGGTTCCCAAGAGTCCCAAAGATCCCGCAAGGACCCTACAGAAGTTCGAGATCGCTCCAAAACGTCCCAAGAGGCCTCCAAGAGCACCCCCAAGAGGCCCCACGAGGCAAAGTCCATTGATTTTCCGACGGTTTGTGGGAGATCGGCCTCCCGACGCTCCAACACGGCCCACGAGGCACCAAAGATCGCCCTAAGGCGGCCCGACAGAGGGCCCCAAACCGGCTCAAGATGGCCCCAGACTGGCCCAAGAGGGCCCCCAGACAGTCCCGACAGGGCCCCAGCAGGCCCCAGGAGGCTCCCAACAGGCCCCCCCCCAAAGAGGCCCCAAGAGGCCCCCAAGAGTACTCCAGGAGGCCCCAAGAGGTCCCCAAGAGTTCCAAGAGATCCCGCAAGGACCCCACAGAAGTTCGAAAGCGCCCGGTAAGGCCCTCAAGACAGGCCCAAAACGGGCCAGGGGCCCGAACATGACCCTTGGACAGCCCAACGGAGCCACTACGCGCCCCAAGACGGGCCCAAGCCATAACAGGACTGCACGACGTCCCACAGAGGCCCTCAGAAGGCTCCAGGAGGCTCTAATACGGTCCACGTGACGTTGATTATCTGAGCGCGAGGCCTCCCAAGAGCGAGCGGCGGCGCAAAGCAATTTCAGCGTCGAGATAATCGGGCCCCGCTGCGACACGGTCCCGAGGCCCCCCAAGGCCCTCACACGGCTCCTTCCATAGTCCCAAAGACACGGTCATTGGTCATTGGTAAGCCCAGGTTGCCGTTCCACATTCTGCCGTGCCTTCCATGCCGTCTCCTACCCAAGTCATTTGGCACTCGCGAGCCTTTCACTGCGTTTCTCTCTTCCCCCACATGGTACACATGCATGCGCAGCCATTGATATATACGTATAGCTGTAAATATACACATAGATGCAGGTACAGCAATCGACACACACACATGTGTATGTACATACACAGATATATTTATATATATACACACACCGACGTGTCTAAATGTACATCTATATCCATAAATATATAGTTGTATACCCATGTGTGTGGCGTGCATGCACGTGCGCGCGTATGACATGTATGCACATATTCGCGCGCGCATGTGCACGCGCACGCACGCCGCCCGCGAGCGAAACTCGAAGGACCAAGGTGCATGGCGCGAAGCGCCACTGCAGTCTTGTATATCTATACATATACATATATACACAGGTACGTGTATACTTATATGTAGCTATGGCCTCAGACTAGTCTTTCCTTCGGGAGGGCCCTGAGCAAACTGTCGTGCAGGTATCTTGGGGTCAACAGGAACACGGACACCTCCTTCGGCTGTCGTCGGCCACGCTAGATCCAGCGTGCGGCGTTTGGAAGTTTCGATGGTCCCCACCATGTTGGTCTGGCGGCCTCTCCCCAGAGGTGCGTTGACGAGCTCGTCGTCCCACTTCCCCACTTCCCCCCCCTAGTGTGATGTTGGACTTGTTGGCCTCAGTCCCGAGCTTTGTCTCCATGCTGCATGTTCGTCGCCCTGTGGGGTGCCTTCGTCGCCTGGCTGGGCGGCGTTCGAGGAAGGGGCCCGGGTGGCGTCGTGGTGGCAGGTCGCATTCACAGGGGCCGCCACGAGGGAGCGAAGTTCTTCACGGCTTGCGATTCGCGATTCATTCTGCTCCTCTTCCTCGTCCTTATCCTCTTCCTCGGAGGGGCGGCGCGAGCACGAAGCGCGAACATCGCTGCCCCTGCATCCAAGCCGATCCTGGCCAGCTCAACGGGCGCACGCGGCCACGTGTGACCCCACTATGAACAGCCGCGTGCTCGGCTGGACTCCGAGGACGTGAGGCTTGAGGCGATCTGCAGCACCTTCGAGGAGTGCGTGAAGGCCAGCGGCGGCCTGGCGGCTCTCGAAGAGGGGCCCCCCTCGGGGGGGGAAGAGGCCGGCTCGACACCGCGGCCCAGCAGAAGGCGGCGGAGGGGCCAGGAGAGGGGGCGAACGCAAGCCAGCAACAGTGTCCCACGCAGGGAAGCTGGCGGAAGCTCGGCAGGAAGCGTGGGAGGTTGTCTCGGGTTGGGACTTGTTTCGGTTCCGGTATCCTGGGTGGCCCCCCCTGCGGGACTGCACAGTATCGCCGTGTGGTCTCAGACTGGGAGGGGGGGCGCGGAAGGGAGAAGAGGGGAGGGCAGTGTGCGGAGGGCAGGCAGGGGAGAGGAAGAGGAAGGGGTGGGCAGGCGGGGTGTGGTGGTGGCAGGGAGTGGGGATTGGGAGGCAGAGAAGAGAGTGAGTAATTGAATCGAGTGAGTAAAGGCTGAAGGGACGGGATGGGTAGAGGCAATGTCTGTCTGACATGTCGGAAAATGACCCTTCACCTCCCTCACCTAGCCCGTCAATGGCCGCTTCGGCCAGCGCGGTTTTTGGTTTGAAGCCAGGGAGCTGCTGGTCACAGGCCTACTATGGGCGAGCCCCGACCGTGCGACACGCAACAGCAACAACGGGACAGCAGCAGCGCCGGGCACACGAATGTAACACGGTTGCACGCGGACGAGGGTGTATTCTCCTACACCGTAGCAATAACATGATTATCTCTCTATCTCTCTCTTCCCTTTCTCTGTCTCGTTATCTTGCTCTCTCTCTCTCTCTCTCCCTCATTCTGTATCTCTCTCTCATTATCTCTCTCTCTCTCTTTCTCATGTTCTTGTTGTTCGTTCTCTCTCTCTCTCTGGGTCTCTCTCTCTCTCTCTCTCTCTCACACACACTGTCTCTCTTTCTCCATCTACAATTCGGAAACCCTTGCTGGGCCTAGGCACTGGACTCAAATCGGTCGGGAGGGCGGCCGAACGGCCCCGCGGCCCTGCGAGAGCCCCAAGAGGCTCAGACACCCACTCGACGGCCGAAGACGATTCAAAGAAGACCCCCCTGAGAGGCACTCGAAACACAAGAGAACATTGATTTCCCATGGCTTTTGTGTGATTTTGAGACGGCTCTGTTCGTCGGTCTCCTGGGCGTCCGAGACAGCCCAGGAGGCCAGAACATCGCCCCCAAACTACCCAAAATGGCTTGCAGCCCAAGAGATCCCCAAGACGGCCCAGCAAGGCCCTAAGATGGCTCGAAGAGAGTCTCATGACGACAGAAGATAGCCTCAAGACGCCCCCCGAAGCATTCCAAATCGTGACCGGGTCGTTTAGGGAGACCGCGGTTGGAAGCACGGTGGCCCGAGGAGGCCCCCAGGAGGCCCCCAGGAGGACTTCACGAGGCCTCCAGGAGGCTCCTAGAAGCCCTTCAACACTTGCGTGAGGCTCCCAAGAAGCTCTCCAAGGAGGAGCCTTCGCAGAAAGAGCTACGGAGGATGGGGACAAATTCGCAAGGTCGGGCGAGAATGAGGGAAAGGAAGAGGAAGCATGGCGGGCCGAAAACGAATAACATAATTGTAACGACGATGTCGGAAATGACAAGACGGAGTTATCGAACACATATGGCAGTGTTACCTTCCTGCTCTTCCGCCTGCATGCCAAACATTCCGGACCAAGGTGCATGGCGCGAAGCGCCAGTGCAGTCTTGTATATCCACATGTGTACATCATTTGCTGATGTGTTTTGTTTGCTCTCTCTCTCTCTCTCTCTTTCCCTCTCTCTCATGCATGATCTCGCACTTGCGTTGTGCATCGTGCACATCCGAGGTGGTTGGTCCCTTCACAGCCAATGCTGTGAGGGGTCTGAGTTGCTTTAGGCAGAACTTGTGTCTGAGACACCGGGTGTGGCAAGTCTGCCGCGGGAGTGCCGTGCCGTGCCGTGCCCGCGATGCGTGCCGTGCCGCCCCGAGGTTCCAGTACACGTGCCCCTCCTCCTCCTCCTCCTCCTCCTCCTCCTCCTCCTCCTCCTCCTCCTCCTCCCTCCTCTTCCTCCTCCTCCTTCCCTCCTCTCCTCCTCCTCCTCCTCCATCTCCTCCTCCTCTGCCTGTTCCTCCTCCTCCTCCTCTTTTTCCCCTCCTCCTCCTCCTCCTCCTCCTCCTCCTCCTCCTCCTCCTCCTCCTCCTCCTCCTCCTCCTCCTCCCCCTCTGCCGCGCCGGGTCCAAGTCGAGGGGTGCCCGCCGCACGCCGAGGTTTGCGCGTCGTGCTGTGCCGCGCCCGCGTGCCGAGCCGTGCCGTACGTACCGCGCCGAGGCGATCGGAGGCGCACGATGCCCCACACAACGGAGCCTGGAAGGGGCCAGGCAGGGTTTCAGAGAGCCCGCCTCTGGACGAGGGAGGTCGAAGCATGTGCCGCCGAGCCGGGCCGTGCTCGTTCTGCAGGGTGGGGAATTTGTGTCGGCCGTGCCGTGTCCCGCCGTTTTTGTTGTTGTTGTTGTTGTTGTTGTTGTTGTTGTTGTTGTTGTTGTTGTTGTTGTTGTTGAACATTATTAATTCTAAAGAATAATTATTGTTGGGCCCCCTGGTGCACGCCCCCCCCCCGCGCCTAGGCCGCAGCTACATTTTCATCATTTTCGTGAGGAAGCCTCAGGTAAAACGATGTGATCCAGATCCGGTTGTTTTGTTGTAATCCGTTTTCCCTTGCAAAAAACACTATAAAATGACATTTCTTGTTCTAATATAATCAAATTTCAAGAATCCCTTGCAAAAAATAAGGTAAAGTGGACATTCGCGCGCGCAAGACGAAATCCTTCCAAAAGCTTAGTGTTCGGAGCGATTTTAACATAAAAACATCAAAAAACCAATGGTTTTTCAACAAAAAAATGTCAAAATCTCATCCCGCGCGCTCTTGCGGATTCGTAGGAAACCCAACACTTTTTAAACATTTCTGTCAAACGGGCTTTTGCGAGCAACTTTTTCGAACTTCTGCGACAACGGTTGCGCACCTGCCAGGGCCATCATCCCTGTCAAATAATACCATGCGGGACACATTCGTTTTTTCTTCGCGCGCGCACGCCGTCGTCGTCGGCCGCGGGGCCCTGAATAGTAGCCACGGTCGTCCGCATGCCACGAAGTGAAGTGTCCGAACGTCATAGGGCGGGAAGCTGGGTGTGGGTGGTGGCGAAGAGTCGTTTGGAAACTTGGTAGAGCTTGAACCGGCCCCCCCACAAAGTGGGGGTATTGCCCGCCTCCTATGAAAACCCTGGCATTGGTGAGAACGGAGTGTCCCCAGTCTTAAATGATTGTTGTTGTTGTTGTTGTTGTTGGTTTTCTTTTTGTTGTTGTTGTTGTTTTTGTGTTGTCTTTGTTTTTTGTTTTTGTTGCATTTGTTGTTGTCCTCTCGCTTTATGGAGTCATAATGTGTTGCTCGTCAGTGGGAGAGAGTTGCCGTGCCGCGGTGTGCCTGGCCGTGGTTGGCCGGCAGAGTGCGGAGCGCGTGCGGTGCCATGCCGTGCTTGGCCTTCGCAGTGCGAGGAAGGCGCCGCGCCACGCCCCGGCGTGCCTGGGCGTGCCGTGCCGTGCTCGCGCGGCGCGCCCCTGCTTGCGCTTTCGGACGCTGGCCCAGCACGGGTCTTCTCGCCACGCTGTGCCACCGTGTGCCGCCAGGGTCTCCATGCCAGTGTGTTGAGCAGGGACCGACCGTCCCGGCATTCCTGTAGCCCTACCACGAAATGTTCTTCGAACCCAAAAATGTTCTAAGGACAAAACGATGTTTTTGGAACATAAACCCGATGTGGTAAAACAAGACAGACTCCGCCAGACATGTTCTAAGAATATTTCGTGGGAAACCACAAAGGGGTTCTTAGAACATTGCTTGGTAGGGCTATAGGCGAGCCAGGACGCTTCGCCACTGCTTGAGGGTGCACACACGCGGCCAGTTTGCGCATCAGGTCGGTGCCGCCAGGTTTCGGCGCCCGTCGCAGACGCGCCATGGCCCAGATGAGTAAACGCATCGCTTCCTGTCCGCGGAATCGTGCGCGCGCGATCCGCCGGGGGTGCGACGCCCCGTTCGCAGCAACGGCGCCGTGTTTTTGTGTTCAGATTCGCGCGCGTGTCCTCGCTCCCTGCTCCCCCTCTCCCCCCCTCTCCTGAGCTCTTACAGCTTTATAACTCCAAACGGGGTGGCGTGTTTGCGCCGATGGAAAACAATGTCCGGCGTACCTGCGCCGGCGCTTGCGATGACAGGGCGACGCTTGCACCGTAGTTTGTGACGTGCCAGAGATGCCTGCGTTTTGCCGTCGGTAGTGCCGGCGCTGGTAAAAACCAGTGCCTGCGGCGCCTGCGCTAACAGGGCGATCGCGAGAAGATGCTTGCGCCCTATTATTTCATGTGCCTGTGGTGCCTGCACCTGGCCGCGCGCAGAGCCCGCGCGGATAAATCGACTGCACCCGCAGCGCGATGGCAAGGCGATGCTTGCACCCTATTATTTGGCGCGCCTGCGGGCGGTTCCTGCGCCGAGGCATGCGCAGCGCCTGCGCTGATAGAGCTACGTCCCCGCGGTGCGCGAGATAATGCCGCCATGACGGGGCGCTGCCTGCACTTTATTGTTTTACGTGTCTGCGGTGTTCCCGCCTAGTCACACGCAGCTCCTGCGCTGATGCAGAGACATCGCTGGTCTTGCGCGGGGCAGGCAGCAGCTACCTGGGCATGGAAAACAGGAAACGCCGCGTTCGATCACTCGACCTTGCGACGGTTCGTCGGCACGCCGACCTTACCTGCCAGGTCGCGGAGCCCGGACAGGACTCCCTGCTTCGTGTCTTTGGGTGACATCCGGTATCGGAAGATGGAGATCAGGGTTGAGCCAGCATGGCGACGGATGGCACCGCCGTGGATGCGAGTATGATGGCGGCGGCGATGGAGACCAGGCAGCCTTCGCAGCCGCGATCACGATCCTCTGCGCTGCACCCCGTCGCGCTGACCGGCTCCCAGCAGGGCATCCCAGTCTCGATGGCAAGATGCATTGGGAAAACGCCTGTCGTTTTATTCCCTCTCCTCGACTTGCTCCCCCGCCATGACGAAGCTGCTTGCGTCGCGCTGGTCGGGCTTCTCGCGGCGGTCGGGTTGTTGGTGCAACTGCGGCCGCGGCTGCGACGCGCATCATTCAGACTTCCGTTGCGCCGCAGCTTGGCCGAGCTCGATTTCTGCATGAGAAGGCACGGTTGCCCGGCGTTGTTTGCTAAAATGTCGGGCCTGTCCCTCTGGGAATTTTCAAAAATAGTCAAACAATAGTCTGGGAACTATGTTTTGAATATTTTTCTACCACTTTGGAATATGTTTTGAATATTTTTTGTTTGTCGTCGAAAATCCCCTTGTAATCTGGGGGACACGCCCGACTTAATGCTAAGACGGGGGCGAGATTCGGGAGGGGGGGGTGGCTGGCCGGGCTCACGATGCAGTCCGTGCGTGCAGCAGTTCATAGGGCGATGGGCTCTCGGAGAGGGGGGGAGTGGGAGAGGGAAGGTGCGTCAACGGAAACAGAGATGGATCGAGGAGTTGCACGATGAGGACGGCGTCCAGAGGAGGAGGAGAGGGATGGGAGGAAGAGGAGAAGGAGAAGCATGATGAGGGTGAGGAGGGGCAGTCGTAAACGAACGTCGTGTGCTCAGTAGTGTGACGAGGCAGAATGTGCTATTTCACGCGCGTTCCACGCGAGTGTCAACGCATGGTGCGCGGATTGGGCAGACTATCGGCGCAAACGGGGCTAACGTACATGCGCTAGCCATTGCCTGTACATGGGGTGGTTTTGCGTGGTGAGTTGTTTTGCATGGCGAGACGTCCCCTGCCGAACGTTGGATCATTTGTTGCACTGGGTGGCAACATATTATCAACATCACGTTTGGGTTCAGACTGCAACCCATGCGCAAAGTCCAAGTTTATCTCTCGCACGCAGTGCCATCGACGCAGGCGGCTGTGTGTTGGGGGGGCTGTCCACCACGGCGAGGGTTCGGGTTCTTGGTCGTGCTGCACACGTCGCTTCATGTGGCAACACAGGCCGTGACCCGTCAGAACTTCTCATGTTCGGGCGGGCGGGCGAGGGGGAGGCGGGCGGAAGAAGGGTGGGATCGGCTGCGCGTGAGATTGGCTCCTTTACCAGAGTGACCACTGCTGCGGGCCCCCACGGGTCCCCCCAGCATGAGCTGGCGCGCGCCTGGAGGAGCGCCCTCGGCCCCCCCCAGTGCCGCACACCAGTGGCCACTCTTGCTCAGGGGTCGCTCCCTGGCGTGTAACATCGACCCGTGTGGCAGAGAGGAGCAAGTTCCCAGGGTTACCCTTGCATCCTTCCCCATCGGCCCATCCCTGGCCTCTCTCACCGGCCGCGCTCCGCTCGCAAAGTGTCGCCATGGTTGTCCGAGGCCCGTGTGTCCTTATCGCGCGTCATTCTACGGGTCGGCTGCAGCTGATGGAAGGGGCCCAGGCCGACCCCGACCTCGCCACCGCGCTTCGCGTCTCGCGCATGGCGTACGCGCAGAACGTGGAAGGCATTAAGCAGCTCAGCGATCAGAGGACGACATCGCGGCGACCGCAGCGCGGGCCGCCTCGCACTGCCCCCGTGTTTTGATCCCGACGGCACGTGTTCCGAGTTGGGGCCCGCCGCGGGCTGCCGGGGCCCACGAGGGAACGCAGGCCGAAAGCCATGCTTATCCCTGGGCCAGGTGCTCTGGATCACCAGCTACTGGGGCAAGCCAGGCATACAGTCAAGACGCCGACACGAGGACCGCTCTGGGTTACAGAGAGGGGTTTGTCCTTGGGCCGGGTGTTCTGGATCACCAGGTGCTGAGGCAAGCCAGACGTACAGTCAAGACGCCGACATGAGGACCGCTCTGGGTTCCAGAGGGGCTCTGCTGTCCAGCCCGCTCCCGGGGCCCGGGTCGGGGAACCTTGTCTTGGCCGAGGCGCCGTGGCCAGAGGAGGTCCTTCTCGTTCCTTCTTGGGCGCCCCCTGGTGAAAGCGCTCGATGGCAGTATCGAGGCAGGCCAGGCGTATGAGGTCTGTGTCGGGCTGTCCCGCTCCTGGCCTTCGCGCGCGCAAACGGAGCGGGGCTGCGCGTCTTGCCGACGCGTGGATTTGTTGGTGTGGATTTCTGAGCGCTTCTTCGTGGGTCCACCCGCTCCTCCTGGGTCTTGGGTCCCAGGTGGGCCCACGCAAGCCGCTTAGTGGAGTCGGCGGGGTCTGACCATTCCCGCTAGCAACCATGCCGCCCCCCACTGTCCAGAGAAGCGGTCGGCCGCCGTTTTCGAGCCTGCTGACATCGCGGCGAACAAGCCATTCGGCCGCGGCGTTCGAGCCTGCTGCATCGTGATTGCCATGGCGATCCTCCCCGCCGCCCTCCCCCCCCCCACTTGCAAAGCGACAGCTCTGTGTTGCGAGGCCCGGCACTCGGGGGCACCAGCGGTCCCGTGGAACGCGGACCACCCCTGGTCGACGCCTTCGCTTGGGAGGCCCAGGTCTCGTGCCTGCGCCATCGTCATGGTCAGTGTGCCCTGGGAAGATCTACGCTGACTGCAGATTGAAGTGTAGTGCGTTTTCGCCCGAGGTGCGGCGCATGTAAACACCTGTGTCGAATGCTGTACCGGCACACGTGGAGGGTGGGTGAGGGCGCCGTTTGTTGAGTTTTGAAAAAAAAACCAATGCAAGAAAAGTATGTTATATTCCTGGGATCCCGACAATCTAAGTGCAAACGGGCCCGTGGAGCACCCCCGGTCGGCTCCCGCTGGGGAGACCCACAGGCCATGCCTGGTACATCGGGGCGATCATGCAGCTTCGAAGACAAACGCGTCTTCCCCCTTCGTAGCCATTTTGGTTCAAGCGTTTTCGCTTTCGTGTTGCTCTAGCGACGTACTCCCAAATCGAGTCACGTGTCCCTTGCGTTATCGTCTAATGGCGAGTTTGTTTCTCCAGGATTGCATGGCTTCTTGTGTCACGGTTTATTGTTGCACGTTCCTCCAGCCAGCCATGTATTTCAGAATTTCTGACGAACAGTATGAAGAAGGATAATCGTAAGTTCCGTGCGTGCTCATCATCGGGTGCTCCGTCGATGGGTACGTTGTGCGGGTGAGTTACCCGCAGCAGGCCTTTACGTTCGAGTCTTTCAAGCTGCCGCACAACTTCGTGATCGAAGGCGAGTGCAACACCGGCGTGGCGGTCCTTCAGCACCGGGCGTGGATGTTAAACCGAACTTGGAGGAGCCGTCCTGGAACCCAGGCCTTGGCCACCACAAGGGAGCCCGCAGGGACCGCATGTGGAGACCACACAGGAGGCGGGCGGTCAATCTCAGCCGACGCACAACGTCATCCAGAGAGCACCCGAACTTGCTCGCACCGCTTTCGCGCAAGCGCCAAGCCTGGTCGTGGTCGAGTCTTCGCTATGGGGTTTGCCACCTTGCTGACAGCAATCGGGCCATCAAGCCATGCCCGAGCGACTGCGGCAGTGATGCGACCACGATATGCCGTATCTGCTCAAGGGCGCGATTGATGCCTTCAAGCAGAGCGGTGACGTTGTCTGGACCTCGCCGACGGTCGCCCAGTGGACTAACGAGAGGTGGACGCAGGCGGATTTCGATGCGCTGCCGCTGCACGACTGCGTCAGGCGAAGGTCGGCAGGCTCGGGCAAGGTCCTCGAGGACGTCTGGGTGACCGACTTCCACGAGATCATGGGTAATCTCATTTCGAACACGGCCACTGGCAGCCTCGACGACCTCTGAAAGCCAGACGGGTACCACCCGTCTGCAGTGCCTGGGCGCCCGACGATGATTTCTAGGGGCTCACGATGGAGGATCGTGCCAACGGGTTGCGGGTTTGTTTGCCATTGCTCCCCGATAAGGATTTGCGGGCTCTTCCTTGCCAAGCGCAGTGAGGCGCGGACAGGTCGGCGTTCGCGGTCAAACAGACAGAGGGGAATAACAACAAATCATAAGCGTCTCCGCCCTCGCCTCAGAAGCAGTAGTTATGCTTGCGAGATCCCGACGCCCTGTGCGCGCAAAGCTCATGTGGAACACGCCGAAGGCGGTACCGTCCCTTTGGGGGTGAACGTGCCATGCTTGGGGCTCTGAAAACAAACGCGTGGACCTTTCCCCGGACACAGCTACAGTCAGAACGCATAACAGTACCAGACGACTCTCCAAAGTAACAGTTACATTCTTGCCCTTTCGGCCCGTCCTTGGCAGTTTTCGCTGGCCAGTTCCGCTAGGAAAACGTCAACATGGCCTTCCAAGGCCCTTGCATCCCGACCGCACCTCCTTATGCGTCTAGACGGGATTCTGCTTAAGAGGTCCCAACACTCTTTCCGCGAACGGGCCCGCGGTTGGTCGACACACCCAATGGGAGTCCCAAGTACAATACTTGGTACAGCGGGATGGCCATGAGCATCCGAGATGGTGTACGAGTGAGATTGGCTACGACAGAGCCCGAGTGTGAGTGAGTCTGCGTATGAGCAAGTCAGGTTACGAGTGCGCGTTCATATGAATGAATCGGTGAGTGGGTGAGTACGAGTGCCATTGATCTCAGTATGAGCGAGTTTGAGTCTGAGTGAGCCTGTGTGGTAGCGTGTCTGAGTGTGCGTGGTTCTGAGTATGCTTTGTTCCTGAGTATGACTGAGTCTGCGTATGAGTGTGAGTCTGTCTGAGTGAGTGCGAGCCTGAGTGCGTCTCGATGCCCGGGTATGAGTGTGCGTGTGTGTGAGAGTGCTTCAGTCTGGCCCCTTGCACACAGACTGGTTTAAGTATTCCCTTTCCGCTGCCCGTCTCCTCGCAAACCTTTTCATCCACAACGTTGGCTGGAATTAGTGTGGATGAGTCCCGTGCATATTTACTCGCGACTGTGGTGCCACATGACAGAATGAGGAATCAGTGCGTGAGTGACGTACGTGAGTCTGAGCATGATGGTCGGATTCTGAGTGGATCTGAGCACGGGTCTGAGTGTGAGTGGTCTGAACATGGGTGCATCTGAATTTGAGCTTGCGCTGTGAGTCTGGGTATGAGATGGAGGAGGGAGGAGGCGGACGGGTGAGGAGGCGCGATATTGATTGTGAGCAATGAAGCAGTCGTTTTTTGTATGTATGGGGGGGCAATCAGTTGAATGTAGTGGTCGGAGGGAGCAGGGAGGATACACAGATCAGAAAGTGGGACACTGATAGGCTGGGAAGTTGTCGCCGGATCGGGATTTCTGTACGACCCGGTAACCCTTTGGTCGAACGAAGTGTAACGTGAGGGGAATAAGCATCGGGAGCAGGAGGAGAAGTGGAAGGAGGACGAGGAGAAGGGTTGGAGAAGTGATCACAATGGACAAGGAACATGGGGAATATTGGAAAGTCGAGGCGGAGGATGAGGAGGCGAAGGAGGATCGCGAAGATCACGCGGATTACGCGGATAATGATGAAGATGATGACCATGATGATGATGCTGTTGTTGTTGTTGATGATGATGATGATGATGGTGATGGTGGTAGTGATGTTGATGACGTTGATGTTGATGTTGATGTTGATGTTGTTAGTGCTAATGAGTTTGGTGATGGTGTTGATAATGACGATGATGCTCTTGTTGATGATGTTGATGAACATGATGATGATGGTGATGATGATGATGCTGATGATGATGATGATGATGATGATGCTGATTATGATACTGGTGGTGATGATGATGCTGATGATGATGCTGCTTATGATGATGGTGGTGATGATGGGGCTGGTGGTGGTGGTGGTTGATGGTGAGGGGGTTCGGAGGAGGAGCATTAGGAGGAGGAGGAGCATTAGGAGGAGGAGGAGGAGGAGGAGGAGGAAGAGGAGGAGGAGCAACGGGTGCAGGAGGAGGAGGAGGAGGACGACGACGACGTCGACGACGACGACGAGAGGGAGGGCGAAGTTCGGGAAGAGGAGGACGAGGAGCACGATGAGCAGGAGGGGGTGCCGAGAACGAGGAGTTGACCAGGCGACGGCTGGCGCGCGCCCTCCCGCCACGAGGAGCGGCGCGGGGGCCGAGGCGGAGGCCCCTGCGCCGTCCGTCCCGCGGCTCCTCGCGGGCCCCGCGCGCGGAGTGGCGCTGGGGGCCCGGGAGGCCCGCGGGCACGCGCGCGCCGCCCGCCCCGACAGCGGCGCGTTCGAGCCTCGGAGGAGGAGGAGGAGGGGGGGTTACGGGAGGAGAGGAGGAGAGGAGGAGGAGGAGGAGGAGGAGGAGGAGGAGGAGGAGGAGGAGGAGGAGGAGGAGGAGGAGGAGGGAGGAGGGAGGAGGAGGAGGAGGGAGGAGGAGGAGGGGGAGGAGGAGGAGGAGGAGGGAGGAGCGCAAGGGGCCGCGAGGGGCTGTCGGCCGCTGGCGCGCCACGGAGGAGGAGGTATACCCATACCGCTATCCTCTTCTTTTTTTCTCCACCTTCCGGGGTCTCTGGCCCTCGTCGCCACCGCTGGGCTGGAGTCGCCTTGAAGCTCTGGTCAGCAGAGGGCAGCACGACGGCGGGATTTGGGTCTCCAGGTGCCCTCGCGGGGCCCCGGGACCGCCGACAGAGCGACTCGGGGCGAGAGGAGGAGGAGGAGGAGGAGGAGGAGGAGGAGGAGGAGGAGGAGGAGGAGGAGGAGGAGGAGGAGGAGGAGGAGGAGGAGGAGGAGGTCGGGACTTCCGTGGACCCCGTGTCGCGAGTTGGGGTCCCAGATTTCCGACGGCATGGGCTTGCCAATCGGGCTTCTCCAAGCCAGTGTGTGGTGCTGGGTCTTCGTTCTGAAGAGACAGCGCCCCGCGTTCCTTCTTCCCGCCGCCCCTCCTGCTCCTCCCCCTCCTCCCGGCCATGTTGGCACGCTCCGCACACGTTTCGTGGCCCCACAGGGAGCTCCACAGAAGGCCCCAGTGGCTGTGTTCGCATGCGCCCACCGCGTGGCTGCATTCGCATGCGCCCACCGCACCCATGTCGGCACACCTCTCACACGCTTCGTGGCCCCACAGGGAGCTCCACCGACGGCCCCAGTGCCGGCGTTCGCATGCGCCCACCGCACCCGTGTCGGCACACCCTTCACACGCTTCGTGGCCCCATAGGGAGCTCCACCGAAGGCCCCAGTGGCGGCGTTCGCATGCTCCCACCGCGCTGATTTCGGTACATCCCTCGCACGCTTCGCGCCCTTATAGGGAGCTCCACCGAAGGCCCCAGTAGCGGTGTTCGCATACGCCCGCGCCGCCTATTTCGGCACACTCGTCGCACGAATCGCAGCCCCATAGGGGGCGCCACCGAAGGCCCCAGCGTCCGCCCCACCCACTTCGGCTCATCACTCACACGTGTCGTGGCTTTATAGGGAGCTCCACCAGAGGCGATACTCACAGCTGCGTTGCTCACAACTGCACATGGTTGGGTCTTCAGCCAGGCTATGTTTCTTGTCGATTTCGGTCCATGGGGGCGGTTGTCGGATCCCGGGGCCATCGAAAACGGATCTGGGGAGGGCGAGGAGGAGGAGGAGGAGGAGGAGGAGGAGGAGGAGGAGGAGGAGGAGGAGGAGGAGGAGGAGGAGGAGAGGGAGAAGGAGGAGAAGGAGGAGTAGGAGGAGGGAGGAGGGAGGAGGAGGAGGGAGGGGGAGGAGGGGGAGGGAGGAGGAGTTCTGAGGCCGCGCATTTGGAACATCACATCGTCGGATGCCTGGGGTTTGATCTTTGAGGTTCAAGGTGCGCGATGTTTTTTGTGCTCCAGCGGAGTTTGCCAGGCTGGGCCCTGGGAGGAGTCAGGAGGGGGAAACAAACATCACAGACATACTTAAATCGCCGGATCCCCGGAAAATGCGGGAAAGTATGGGAAGTGGGGGATGAAGACGAAAACCAAGGAAATGTGTGGAAGTATGGGTAAGCTTGGGATTCGCTTGTATTCAATCGTGTGTCCATGGGCCCCGTCTAAGGAGTCCAGGGTCAAGTCCAGTCCAGGGCCAAGTGTTGTCCGCCCCCCCCCTCGCTCCCGCTTGCCTCTCTCCCTGTCCTCCACGGGGGCAGGGCGACGAGTAGGGGGGGGGGGGGGTACGGGAGGAGAGGAGGAGGAGGAGGAGGAGGAGGAGGAGGAGGAGGAGGAGCCACAGAAAACGAGGACGAGAAGGAACATCGGGGTAAGAAATGGGAAAACATGGAGAAGCAGGGGGATGACGAGGGAGGAGAAGGTGGAAGAGAGCGAGCATGAGGGAGGAGCATGGAGAAAGGGAAGAGGGGATGGCGGAAGAGGTAGGAGGAAGAAGAGGAGGAGCAGGAGGAAAAGGAGGAGAAGGAGAAGGAGGAGGAGAATGAGGAGGAGGAGAAGGAAGAGGAAGAGGAGGAAGAGGAAGAGGAGGAGAAGGAGGAAGAGGAGAAGGAGGAAGAGGAGCAGGAGGAAGAGGAGGAGGAGGAGGAGGAGGAGGAGGAGGAGGAGGAGGAGGAGGAGGAAGAGGACGAGGAGGAGGAAGAGGACGATGAGGAGGAGGAAGAGGAGCACGAATAAGCAAGAGGACGACAAGCATGAAATGGTGGGGGGACGAAGAACGTTGGGATCAGGAGCAAGAGCAGCAGCAGCAGCCGCAGCAGCAGCAGCAGCAGCATCAGCAGGGGAGAGGGAATGGGAGGACTCGGAGAGGAGGATGAGGCGGAGCAGGAGGAGGAGCAGCATAAGAACAAGGAGCAGCTGAAGGAGTAGAACGTAGGGGGAGGACTGCTAGCCAGGTCTAGCGAGTCAGCGGGCCCCGCCCAGTCCCAAGCGCCATGCCATGACATAAGAAAAAATGGGGGCACGGCTCGCTACTGGGGCTGCCACGCGTTCCCACTTAGCGAACCGATGACTTGATGAGGGATCACAGTGCGGGCCGAGCGCGGGCCTCCTTCCGAGCAGCCAGCGGCGCACCGCTGCGTTAGCCCTGTCTTGGTGCACGCGCCGCCAAAACCGAGGCTTCTTGTTATAGCCGTGGAGGCGAGTCATAGCCGACCCGGAATTCCAAAAAGAAGCCCGTCGTTGCATGCGCAGTCGGAGAAGGGCAGTTGCGTATATAGGGGAGGAGGAGGAGGAAGAGGAGGAGGAGGAAGAAGAAGATGATGATGATGAGGAGGAGGAGTGTGGAATCATATAGCTCCCTCTCGTCCTGACTATCTGTGCTCTCTGCATCTGTGTCTGTTGTTTGCTTGCATGTGCACAGCCGCGCCGTGACTGACGCTTTGGCTCAAGCTGTTCTGTGCGCAGTGAGTGCAAAAGCATCCCATTCAGTATATCTTGCGATGGCCGCCTGAACCCGTCGTGCCCACAGTGGTAGGCGGAGCGTGGTTCACCGAACGACTTCCGGTGGCGAGGCCCAGGGCGGGCGCGCAGCTGGAGGACGGTTCACAGATCTGCGGCAGGGCGAGGGCGACCAACGAGGGTGCAAGTACTGAAGACGGGTGATGAGCCACTCGAGCGCAGCCGCCTCAGCAGGCGGCAAGGAAGGGCTTACAGATGCAGACATCGATAAGATCGCGGGCAGGGTGGCTCAGATGATACGGCTGGGCACAGGGACATCTCCGGCCTCGGCGCCACCTGAGAGCGCACCCAACCTCCAGGGGCTCGCCGGTCAAGATCAGAGCGCGGCTCCATCTCACGAGGCGGGCTGGAGCGTAGTAGACGACCCCTGGACGGAACAGGATCCGTGGCGAGAAGAATGGAGAGCGAAGGATGCGCGGGCAGAAGATGACAAGCTCACACCACCATCCATGAGGGCATCAGACACTTGGAAGGAGTGGAGAGACGGATCCGAGCAGCGACAGTCCTGGGATCAGGACGACGGATGGAAGAGCAGACCCGGGCGACAACATGCCTGGGATCAAGACAACTCGTGGCAGAGTTGGAGCAGTCAAGGCAGCCCATGGCAGCACGACCGCGGCTGGTGGCAGGGCCAGTGGACCCAACCCAGGCCAGCACCATCCTGGCCAGGCTGGGAGAGATTCAGGCTGTGGAAGCAGTACGTGAAGCGTTGGAAGGACAGCCTGCACCTGAGCGAGGTACAGGCAGCAGACAGGCTGCTGGAGATTTTGCCCTGGGAGATCAGGACGACTCTCAAGGACATCCCAGACAGCGAGCTGACGGTAGAGATCATACTGAGGAGGATGGGCTTCAAGTCCGGCGAGCGCGAGGACGACGACCTCTACCGGACAGGCAGTGAGGCCATGCAGGACACGGAGAGGAAGAAGGACGAGGACCTGCACGCCTTCGCGGAGCGACGCCGACGTCAATTCGACAAGGCGAAGAGCATCGGGATGGAGATCCCGCAGAAGATCCAAGGCATGCTGCTGATGCAAGGAGCTCGTCTCAACGAGCAGGGCAGGCAGAACCTCAAGAGCCTGACGAAGGGCTCGATGCTGGGCGAGGACATCCTCTGGGCACTGCCCAAGCTGGACACTGGAGGGAAGATCTGGAGCGACGGCAAGCAGTCATCGCTTCTGAGCATGGGGTCGGAGGAGGCGCCGCCACCTTTCGAGCCCCATCGGGCAGAGTCTGGGCCTGTCGAGGAGCCGATCTACGAGTGGTCGTACTGGGCCGACGAGCTCGACTCCGAGGACGAGGCCATGGTGCTCGTCGAGCTCTCAGAGAAGAGCCTCGCGGAGCCAGAGGTGGTCGAGACTTTGGCGCAGATCGGAAAGACCAAGAAGACGTGGAAGGAGAACCAGCAGCTGAAGACGGCGCTCAAGCGGGATCGAGGCTTCTGGAAGAAGAAGCGCCGGCTCACCCCGTCACAGCTGAAGCTGATCACGAAGTGCGGCAACTGTGGAGAAGTAGGGCACTGGCACAAAGAGTGCAAGAATCCTCACCGTCCCAGAGAGCGAGATGGCAAAGGCAAACCTCGGTCTGGAGGGGCCGAGATCGAGGCATTCACGTTCGCGGCGATTGGCGCGAGCGACGACCAGGACTTCAACCTCGACGGCATCACGGTCCTGGGCAGGGAGGTGCTGGCGACCCTCAGGGAGATCATCAGCTCGGAGACCACGGAGCTCTCGCTGCTGATTCTCGAGGGCGGCCTGATCATCGTGGACAGCGGCGCCTCCCAGGCGATCATAGGTCGCCGGGCTTTGAAGGAGCTCGAGGGAGATCTGCAGCGACGAGGCCT